CGGGTAGAAGATCTTATAAAGTATATTATTATATCTCTAGGTAGTTTTCGTTCTTTTATTTGCGTATAATTAATCCGAAATATTTTGTCCACATCTGCCAATAATTGCTCTAACTTATATCCCAGGAATTCTGCTAGAGGTGTGATAACTCTTTCAGTAAGATCTTCATTTTTCTTCTCCACCACTCCTCTGATCTTCACGCATTTCTCCCTATAATGTAATTCATTAGTCCAGTCTCTGTAATTATGTTGATTTTGTTCTTTTCTTAATTCTGTAGTAGTCTTTTCCAAGTGATGAGTTTTATCTTTAATTTTTTTCTACTTCCTTTTGTGTTTTATTTAAGTCCGATGATATCTTTGTTATTTTTTTACTTAGTCCGTCTAGGTCTTTACGTAAGTCAGTTTTAATATCTTTGATTTCTTCTCTTAATTCCTGACAGGCTTCTTTAAGGTCTTCCTTCATCTCTGTCCTCATTTCCTTCATCTCCTGTCGAATCCGTCTCATTTCCTCCAAAATTAACATATTCGGATCTATAATCTTAATTGCATCTTCCACAGAAGTTTGTCTCTGTATTGATGCCTGCAGCTGTACTTGGGAGGATCCCTTCTTTTGTGTAGACATATTTTCTATTTTTTCCTTCAATTATATAATGTGTAATATTGATATAGATATGTTTAAGTAAGATGCAAGAATATAAAAAGAAATTGAATACCGTAAATTTCCTTCAATTATGTAATTGTAATTATATACCATATAGTGTGAGTATAATATCAATGTTTTCAATATTTTCAACTAGCTAATATTCTAACACCAATTAACTTCAAAACCAGAATTGATGATACTCAAATTGTTTTTTAACAATTATCCAATTTACTATTATAAATTTATTCTGTACTATCAATTGTATAAATACTATCAATACTTTCTGATTTCTCTGCTTCTTACTATCAACTAATGTTATCTAACTTATTCATTAATTTTAATATTTTAAATTTTTAATATTTTAAATCCAATATTTCAGATACTCTTACAATTTCAAAAAAAAAATTACGCATATTAAGCCTGTCTATTATACATTTATACTGATATGTATGCTAAGAACACTATTTAATTAAAGAACAGCGAATATTTATGCATATAATATGAACACATAAACAACATACTGTAATTTCTTTTGATTATCTATTATATCTGATTTCTCCCTTTATAAGTATTTTCAATGATCCAGATTTTTGAACCAGATAAGTTCTCTTATTTTCTTAACATTTACTCCCTCTATCTTACTTAATTTTAAAATTAAAATTAAATTATAACTCCAAACATACTTTTTCTGGCATCAGGACGTCTTTGGGGAGGGATTGAGATGGCCAGTGTGTGGCTGCCCCTCCCCATCCCTGCCTCCAGAATGGCCCAAAGGGCCTATCTGTAGAGGCCCTCACTCCTTAACAATCTTGATTTATAATCTATAATCTGGATTCCTTACCAAGGTCTTTGCTGTTGCATGGAACCACACAGACCTCTTGGTTAAGGGGTGGGATCGCTTAGCATTTTACCATCCTTGCTGAGCAGTAGTTCCACCATTTCTTTCATCATTTTCTATAGGTAGAATCTATACAGAGCTGGAAAGATTTACACCTTCCAGAATCTCAAAGACAGAATCCAAAACTAGTAATTTTTCCAAACTCTGGTTCTTGATGAACAGAAGCTTGAAGGCTTTCTTTGTCAGAGATATACAACTAAAAAGGTAAAGGTAAAGGTAGTCCCTTGACATGAGTGTCTAGTCATGACCAACTGTAGGGAGTGGTGCTCATCTCCATTGCTAAGCTGAAGAGCCTGCATTGTCCGAGGATTACTACGGTAGTCATGTGGCCAGCATGAGTGCACCGAACACTGTTACCTATTTATCTGCTTGTATTTGCATGCTTTTGAACTGCTAGGTTGGCAGAAGCTGGGACTAGTGATGGGAGTTCACCCCATCATTCAGCACTTGGGCCTTGAATTGCTAGCCTTCTGATCTTCCAATAATCAGATAATCAGATTGGCATCTTAACCACTAAGTCACCACATCATAGCTACCTGGTTGTTATTTGATTCAAACATCAATTTGTATGTCAAACTTCCTGTGACTTGAATCCAAATAGAATTAAATAAAGGGAGTTGATCTCAAAACTGATTGAAAATGAGATATTATTAATTTGAAATTTGAGTTGTGTTTCACTGCTAGGAATGAAAACATTTAGCTCCAATTCAGAGTGAGCATTTCCTGTATATTCTGCAGAAAGGCAATGCATATTCTTCATGGATTCTTGAAGTGACTTCTGTAATTTGTGTAGGAAACTACTAAAGGATATCATAGTTTTGACTCTCATGCTGTCTCTCTCCCTGGGAAAACAATAGTGGAAAAAGTAGACTGGCCATCTGTCTAAACATACATTTTGTCTTAAGGCTATTTTGCTATTTACTATGTTTGTTACTGAATATTTATCTGGACACCTGTGGGTTATACGGAACAGTTTTTTTACAATATAAATATTTATATAGCAAGTACTTGCCCTCAGTCTTCCTACTTTCACTATAGCAAAAATAATAGCGCACTTATGAGGTAAATTGGCTTAGGATGTATGTGGCAGGTGCAACAGGTTCTTAAAGGCAATATGTTTCTTGTTATCCATCACAGAGATTGTCTTGAGGCTAATAACTGTTATTACAGTTAGACAACTGTAGAAACACTTGATGGGAACGGCCTGAATTATTTTCCTACATGATATGGTGGGGACATGCACTGATTGCATTTAATTATTATAGGGATCTACAATTCTTTCTTCTACAACTGATCCTGCCCCCTCATCAAAAGCGGAAACAGAAAGAGAAGAAGACCACATGGTAGA